AAAGGGAATTGTCAATCAGACCATGGAGGTATATACTAATATGAAATGTACTCTATTTTGTGTAGTGATTGCTTATTGAGATCATTCATTCCCGCCAATTGTTTAAAATGCAAATTAAAAACGATATAAATATTGAATGCATAATTATTTTATAGCATTTTCAGATAAGGAGTTCAGAGAGCTTAAAACTGTTGTCTCACAATGGTATGACAGCAACAAAAGTCTTCCTATGCTGAAAGTGTTGTTCAGAGACAAGGTGAAAAACATAAAGCTATCAAAAATAACTGACACGATGGACTTGCTGAATATATTATTTGCACATGGTCATCTGAGTTCACAGAATCTTGGAATCCTGTGCGATACTATTAGCATTACCGAACATTTGGGTCTTTTATCGAAGATTAAAGAAAAACTGCCATCATTCCCAGATGTTAAAGAAGGAACCATTTCAACAAAATTTACACCTCTCAGGCAAAAGTTGATAAAATTTGGAATGGTACTGACCCCAGCCGATGTGAAGCAGATCGATGGAACATACAATACGCCTTGTAAGGAGTATACTGACGGCTGGAGTATGATCACAGATCTAGAAAACAGACTGAAAATCAGCAAAGGAAAATTGGAGGAATTCATTGGTTCGTTGGAAACCCTTAATCTGCCACTGGCAATTAATGCGCTAACAGAAGGTATTCTCATTGTTTTAAAAAACCATGACATGGGTTTTATGTTGCATTATTTTATCTTGTAAATGTTGTCATAAATTATAAAGAATGGTTTGAAAGATCAGTATGCTGCCCACTTTCTAATACCCGGCTGTCAAAAATCTTTTTCTTTTTTAATTTGCTATGTTCATGTATTTATTATCAAGATTTGTAGAATTATTCTGATGAACATTCGCCAAGTGTTATTTTTAATCATTTTAGGTCTGTAGGTCTAATCTGCAAATACTGTTTGGACATCTGTTCCTCTTCTCAACTGTAAGTAATCTTAGTTTTTGTACTTTTGAATTTGTTGATGTTGTGTTTTGATTATGTCCAGGCAGGGAGCAGCCATGTGGTCCATTACACATAAACTTACTTATTTCCTTGTTTTTATCATATATTATTACTCTTAGCAAGGAGGTATAAAAATAGACATCATCAAATTAGACATACTTTGTAGCTGCCTTCTTTTATAGGTGTATTCTGC